CAGCAGCGAAGGTCATGTCCCTGTCTGATGGCCACTTGGCTTGTGTGTGCCTTTGAGCGTGATGTGCTGGGGTGTAGTACACTTCCATCAGGGAGCTGTTGTAACCCGTGCCCACACTGAGACAGGAAAAGACAAAACCCCCAAAAAATAATTCAAAAGTGGTGATTTTGAGCTGTGGGTGTTCAGAGCACTGAGTGATGTGCGAATATGGGGAGCCAGGATTTCTGAATCGCTTGTGGGATCCGCAGGGTTGGCTCTGCAGGTCCCCGCTGGTACAAATCTTTGAGACAAACGGAGTTTTATTGTGTTGCTGAGGACTGATGTTGGTGAGGTGATTGGGCTCACTGCGTTCCCTGTCCATTTTTTTCCTAAAATGCATTTAAAATTCATGCTGCCATCTCCCATCCTCAGTTCCTCAGCAAACTCCACGTTTTGTTTTGCCTTGTTTTGCTTTGTTTTATTCCCATTATTCTGTTCTCCCTCCAGCTGCATTTTAATTCCTTGCTCAGAGCTGCTTTGCTCCTTGGCGAAGCACCAAGCGCTGTTTTGCCAAGATATCCCTCATGTCATCCCAGCTTTGGCCAGGTGGAAAAGTCACATTTTGAATGTCACAAAAGTAAGTTTTGCATTTCAACGAAAGAGTGATAGAATTTTTCATGAGAGGGTGAAAGCATTCCCACGTCTCAATCAGCCCAATTTAGGCTGGAGGAGCTGAGCTGTCTGCCATCTGTCTCCTCGCCAGTCTCTCCCCCACCATCCCCGTTTTTGAGCAGTTTGGCCAATTTCAATCACATTTGAAAGAAGGGTAGATGGCTCAAAGACAATTATGCTTCTAGAAATTGTGTTACCTGGCAGAGGAGCACTCGCAGAGAGGTGGAAAGGAACGAGTTTGACAGCTCGAGGTCAGCCAGCGCGATGCCTCGTGGGGACGCAGTGGAATTTGGGTGTTGGTGTTGGGGTGCTTGGTTGGAAGAAAGAGCACACATGGACAGGAAAGCAGGCTGTGTTTGTTGTGCTGCTCCCCAGCTGCCTGCTGAAATTCTCACTATCGATCTTTTTAAGTGTAAACTGGTCAACAGAACAAAACAAACCCTTAACACGTTCTCACATACCGACAAGTTTTCTGGCACGATGCACTGCAAGATTAAGCAGAAAAACAGTTCTAGGACATCATGGGAGCTGCTCACCGAGGTGGGCAGTGATGGACCAGTATCTGGGAACACCTCAGCTAAATGGGCCAGGCCAGGGATGGAAATTGGGCCAGGCCAGGGATGGAAATTGGTCCAGGACACAACTCCTCACATCTCCAACTGCTCCAGGTTGGAGTTCCAGGAGTTCCAGGTACAAATGTGCTTTTTGGGTGCATCGCATCCTTACTGTGCCTTCTGCCCACCTGGAAGTCATTATTATGTCAGTGGGTCCCTTTGGCTGTGGTGAGAAGTATGGCACTTGTGGAGGTCAGTGCTGCCTGGGAGCACTGCTGCTCCTATGCACACATCTTTTGAATGTTTGGTGCTTCGATTCAGAAGGGCACATTAATTTAATTAGATTGGCTTGAAGAAATGTAACTGTTGTGAGATGAAGGAACTGATTTTTTTCTCATTCTACTTGGCAGTTAAAGTAAGTGGCATTGTTCTGGGTTTTTTTTTTCCATATTCCCAGTTGCTCACAACCATTTTAAAATACGTGTTTATTATTATAGCACTAACTATGCTAGGCAATCCTGCTTTCCAAATTCTTAAAAGAATAAAAACAAAACAAAACCCAACACCCTACTCTTCTATTGTCTGCCTGTCCAGGTTTTATCTTGTGCAGTAGGCATTTAAAGTCTTATCTTCTCAAATAATATCACTGTCAATAGAGACTTTGGTCCCAGTTCACTGTTCTGTTTAATTTCCATTGCACGAAAACAACATGTGCTTCAGCTGGGCAGCAGCTCCCAGTCAGGCATTCCTAGCAGATGGGAGAACTCTTCTCATGGGAGGGGAGGGCATGGCTCATGTCTCCATGACAATAGATGGGATGGGATGCAATGCAATGCAATGTAATGCGGCGGGATGCAATGTGATGGTGTGGGGTGGGATGAGGTGGGGGTGGGATGGAGCATCTGCTGCACATCTTCCTTCAGTTTGCGTGATCAAGTGTTCAGATCACTTACTGCAGTGGAAAGCAGGATTTAGGTCTGCACACGCTGACATGCAGGGAGTTGATGCCCCCGTGTCAGAGCAGTGAGCCTGCTAGCTGCACTGCATGCTTCCCAGCACATCATTGTGACTGCTCAGGTCTGCTTCTCCTGCTGCAGCTCCTATGGATCGAAATGGGGTCCCATGCTGGAGCTCCCAAGCTGGAACACTTATCCCATGCATTTGGATAGCCCAGCTTCATACAAACCCTGTCTTTAGCTGGGGAGCTGTATGCACACCTGGTGGGAAAGGAGTGAGATAGAAGGGCTCAAACTGCCTTGAAGAAAGCAGCAAGCCTTGGATTTTGGAAGAATTTGCTCCAGGCTTCTCAGGGGATGGAAATGTTTCCTATAGCCAGCTGGGGGAAGATTAGATAACCTTTTGGCTGTAAGTTATTGCCAGCTAATAATTCCCACTTGTGTGCTGACAGGAGAGGGGAAGAGGTGTCTTTGCAGCAGAAATTGTGTTGAATGTTTAAAAAAAAAATACAATAAATCTCAGGAACACTGGAGCAGTGCATCCGTCGTTCATTCAGCTCCTAGGTGCAGAGTACGTGCCACTGTGTCTTCCTTTTCTATCCAGAAGAGAGATTACTGTATTAATTATGACATCTTTGTGAAGAGCTGAAGCATTGCTCAAGTCCTCTGTTCAACAGCAGGAAAATGTCAGATTCATCTCACGGTAAATTTGAAGTTACACCAACCTGAACTATCGCTACTGGCAGCATAATAATAATGCAGGTAATCAAAATCAATTAAATTCCAGTGCCTTCCTATTGTCCTAGAAAATTCCAATCTGAGATTAGTTTGAGTTCATTTGACTTCAATAAAAGAAGTGGAACTTCTGAGGCACTTTGAAATAGGTACGTGGCTGGGTCTTTTCTTCAGCTGCACGTGTGCAGGCACATGCATGGTGGTTCATGCCCAATACAGCCAGATGCTCTGGTTGGATGATAGGAAATAATCCTCAGAAAGAGTGGTGATGCAATGGCACAGCTGCCAGGGGAGTGGTGGGATCACTGTACCTGGAGGCATTAAAGAACCATGGAGATGAGGCACTGAGGGATGTGGGCAGTGAGCGTGTGGGGGGTGGGCTGGCGTTGGGCTTGGTAATCTCAGAGGTTTTTTCTACCTTTGTCATTCTGTGATTCTGTGACAAGGAGTAACTGATCTGAGGCTGCTGTGTTGATGTTTGAAAACTGGGACTTGGGCCTACCGAGAGCCAGTGCTGTAAAATTTGGATGAGGTATTGATCAGGTGAGTGCCAAATGAAGAGTTTCCTCCATGTAAGAGGGAGGAGGACCAAGCCTGGTACATTCTGCTCTACAGGGACCTTCCTGCAGACGTTGGAGCAACAAGAAGGAGGGGATCTGCATGTGTCCTACCAGCAGTAACACCCCCAGGCACCGTGTGCCCTATCTTCCAGATCACTGGAGACAGGAAGTTGTCCAGGATCTTCAGCTTGCGGCCAGAATGGATGTGTTTCCATAACATCTTGCCTTGATTTGGTACTGGCAAACCTTCCATAGTAGAGATGGAGCAGGAGATGGAAGGAACTGCCACCCAAACAGGGCTGCTGTGGCATGAGCTCTTGGGAGCAAAGGAAGAAACTATACATTTATATACATCTATTACAAATATATACATGTATGTGCATATATGTATGTATATATGTATATAGTAATCTTTTTGCCATTATCTGCATATAGAGTTGGGCTCTTTGGAAAAGGAATTGCCCTTCCATGCACAGACTGCCCTGTGCATGTAAGATTTTACTTACTCTTTTAAAACTTTTCCTGAGCCTTGCTGGCTGGACCCTTGGTAATGAGGGTAACATGAGCTTGATGCCCTATCTAAGCACAAATGCCTGAGTTGCTCCATGCCTCATTGAGCTTCTGTTTGGGCTGTTTTTCCATGTGATGTCTCTTCGGGAAGTAATTCCTACTTCTGCCCATGGGATTTCAGAGTGCTTCGATGCTTCTTTGGGGCCACGGCTATATGTGTCCCTGCTAGGGCACTCTGATGGGGCATAAAAATGCTCAGGGAATGGTCAGTTTGTGCCCCAGAGGGGGATGTGGGCATGGGGTGAGGGGGCAGATGGATGTGACCCGGAGGGAGAGCAGACTGTGAGTATGCATTACCAGCAGTCCTCAGTCAGAGCCACCACTCCCTCCCTTCTGGTCACTGGTTTATCCCCATCTCGATCTCTCCGAGCTGGGGCAGCTACCTGGCATCCTTTCCCCTGCAGCCACTGCTCCACTCTATACCCCCTTCAACTTGCCCATATGGGACATAACCCGTCCTCTCCACCTGCAAGGCATGAAGCAGAGCTGCCCCCTCCTAGCTCCTGCATTTCACTTACACATCCTTCGCCCTGCTGCAATGCCTCTGGCAGCAACTCATCCCCTTTCCAGCTCTGAGCTGTGGCACACTGCAGCGCAGCAAGCCACCGTGCATGTGCCTCATCTTCCCCGTCCCATCGTGTCCCATCCCATCCTATTCCACCCCATCCCAACCCATTCCATCCCGTTCCACCCCACCTCATCCCACGCCAACCCATTCCATCCCATTCCACTCCATCTCGTCCCATCCCATCCTATCTTGTCCTGTCCCATCCTCTCCGCCCTGTTCTCCCATCCCGCCCTGTCCATCCCATCCCATCCTATCTTGTTCTGTCCCGTTCCTTCCAGCCTTTCCCATCCCACCATGGAGGTGGTGGGCTTTCCAGGACCTCCCCTCCCTCCCTGCAGCCTCGAGTCTCGCCAGTGATGGGGAGAGCGTCACCGTCTCCTAGCAAGGCGCCTAGCAACGCTCCTAGCAACCGGGCAACATCTGCTCCCGCTGGACCAATCCGTGCAGGGCACATCTGGGCGCCCACCTCCGCGGGCTGCAGCCGGGCGGTGATGCGCTCCTCAGTGGCTGCAGGGACCCGCAGGAGCTGCCACCAGTGCCACCACTTCCAGCGGCAGCCAGCAGCTCGGAGCGGCTGGGGAAGGAAGAAGGACGGGAGCAGCTCTCCCTCCACAGCTGGGGATCGCAAGGTGAGTGCCGCAGGGCTGAGGGTGCTTGAGGACAGCGTGGCATTTGCTGGGCTGTGGGCGGCTGCTGGCACGCAGGGAGTTTTGTATGTGTGAGCTGCCGGCTTTGCAGAGCTGTGGAAGAAGGCATGGAGCCGAGCAGGGTGCAGCGTTGGTCCTGCAGGGCTACGGGTTGTGCACCGAGGTGCTGCTCTCTCTGCTGTCTTCCTATGGGCAAACTCTGCAAAGTAAGCAGAGCTACTTTTTGTTGTCTGTTTGCTAAGTGCCATCCTCAGGGATGAGACAGCCACCTAAGCATAGACATGTTCTAGCTGCGAGACGCACGCAAACACACACAAGCTCTATTTTCCTCTATCTTTCACAGTGTTTGGATCTGCTTTTTCTTCACATGTGGATGTAGGCAGAATAAGCATCTCTGCACATAGAAGTGCAGAGGTGGGTCTGCACACATGGATCTGTTGATGTTTCTCTGCACGGTGCCATGGGGACCCTTGAGAAGGCGAACGTATAAACATGCACAGTGCAGTAATCCTGGGACACAGAACCCGTAATCTGACTTTCCCCAGGGCTGTGTTACTCTGCAGGCAGTGAGGGGCCAGGAGGGGGGCTGTGTGATGGGAAATGGATGTTGCCGCTCCAAATGATGCTGTGGTTTCAGTTGTATTCCTTCAGCTTTCCTGTGAGGCTGACAAGAGCTGATGGGGAAAACAGCACACTGTTTCATGAGGTTGTGCTCAGGCTGCAGTCGTGTTTTGGCTCAGCAAACTTCCGGGTATTCCGAGGAACTGTGTGTGCAGCATTTGCTCTGGGAGCATTACAGCCATACCACTGAGAGGCTGACATGGTTTTTCCTCATGTTCTGGTTTATGTCTGAAAGGCTGTCCGGGAAGCGAGGGTAAAGTCTGGGAGTTTGGAATAGACAGTCTCAGTGGTCTCTCCAACCTTAACGATTCTATGATTTGGATGTGACCCCAGGACTCTGTTTTTCCTGTTTTCTCTTCTCGTGCTCGTCCTGCTGCTGCCACCTGAGCCATGTTCTCCCTTGGTCCCCCCACAGGTGACGTTCTGCGGGGCTGTGCTGCCAGCAATGCTTGCTGAGCCCGTGCGAGGAGATCTCACCAGGACTGCTGGCATCATCCCAGAGAGACCCTTTGCAGACTGACTCCACATCCTCAGGTAATTGTCATGTTTGCCAACTACTGCTGACTGGGCTTTGGAGCAAGGGAAATGACTGCTAAAGGGGGACTCAGATGGAGTTAAGGTGTCATTCTATTTTTTTGCTGCATCTGGCTGAGCTATACCCGTTTTCTTGGTCAGAGGGATGGAGGCAGGGGGGCGGCAGGGAACGGGAGCAGAGCGATCACCCATCACTGTCTCTGTTTTTATGCATTCATGAGAGCTATCCTGATGCCTGTGCCTGGTGAACTAGGGAGATCTGTAAAGCAATTAGAAGTCCCAAAAGAAGGCAGTTTTAAAGTGCAAAGCCACAGCTCCAGCAAGTAGGAAGGCTGCTACCTTCCTTCAGGTGATCAAACAAGGGGAATTTCTGTGCCCGGGTGGGGAGCAGGAGATCCATCCCTACGCTCTGCAATTGTCATTCCATGTGAAACCCATGATCTGGCAGTGTTCCCCATTCACATTTTCTCCGCCTGTGTTTTGAAGCTGGGAAAGCCTTGGCGGGACCTGAGGCTGCTTGTCCTGAGAAATGCGGCAGTGTAACATGAAATCAGACAGGGTTTCAGCTGAGCACTTTGTAATTGCAGTGTGGCTGAGGTTCATCACAGGTTCATCGCAGGGGAATTCATCACTGCAGCTTGACGGCAGCCGCAAGGACAAGGCAGTATCTCCAGCCATGTCAAAGTCACATCTCCTGCTGATAATAAATACCCATCTCTGCATGCTCAGAAGCACTGGATTTTCTATTTGTGCATGCAGGAGATGCTCAGAGATGCTCTCCATCTCAGCTGGCTCTCTTGCACTTCCATCCCCTTGTGCTGTGAGAGGAAGACCTGTGGGGCACCGGCTCATTTCAGTTGCGTGGTGCTGTTGGCTCCGGCTCACCCAGTGAGCCCCTGAATTTCTCCTGCAGCCATCTGCAGTGATGCACTGAGAGCAGCAGCTGCTCCAGCCCCAGCACTGCAGCAGCACACTGCAGGGACAGGTCTTCTTCCTTAGGAAAGGTGGGAAAAACAGAGGCAGCCAGAGCAGCTCTCTGTACAACCTGCAGACCCAGGGCTGGCAGTCCGCTTTCCATTTGTCTGAAGTGGAAAAGCACAATCTTTGCTTTCTCTCAGCTGCTTGGTCATTTGCTAACCCCCCTCTCTGAGATGACCCGTGGCCCTCCTGGGACCAGCAGCACTAATTCATGCTGCATAGAGGCTCTATCTCTGTGTGATGGGGGACCGTAAGGCAGGTGAAGACTATCTTGTGCCATTTGCAGCTCAATCATGAAGTTGCCATGCTATAAATCAATTTCCATTTCAATTTAGATAAGACCCTCTGCCCAAACATGCCTAATAACCCTGTGGGTCCACGCAGCGCTGTGATTATTCCCAGGGCAAGGAGTAAGAACAGGCACGTATTTGAAAGTACAGTTAAAGAGCTCATGAAGCTGCTCTGGGGAGACCTGGGAGGCAGCAGCCTCCATCCCCTCAGTGCCACGCATGGGATTTATGCTCCCAACTTCCATTAGTGCTAATGGCAGCGGGAGCCGCTGCGGTGCTGTGTGCATTCCGAGCAGCCGGGCTCGGCTGGGCAGGGAGGGCAAACTTCGCACTCAGGATCCACCGCTCCATCCCTGGGGGGATGGTTGGCCCCATGCCTGGGATTGTGGTGCGGCACTGAAAAAATGTAATGTGATTAAGATGTATCTGTCTCCAAGGCTGGCTGAGGCGGAGGCAGTGACTCATACCACCTTGCTGTAGCTGTCAAAACACTTGGCTGGCGAGAATAGCCTTCCTCACAAAAAAGCACTGATTCAATATGTTTATATTTAAACAAAACACGAAGGGTCTGATTCACTGCCGCATTACTACCGCCGTGCGTGCCTGCAGCCCGGCCAGGCAGTCCGCACTGACTTTCAGGAGTCCTGCAGGGCTGGAACCGCTGGGCTTTGCTGACAGCCAGCACCGAGCAGCTTGCGTCTGCTCTGCTCTTGGTCTTTGAGGAGCTTTGTGCTTGCAGGTGGGAACGTGTCCTTTTAAAATCAGCCTTGCAGCCCGGTGTTGGGAACAGGGATGGGGCCAGCTGCAGGAAGCTTCATGGAATCACAGAAAAACTGAAGCTGGAAAAAGACGTTTAAGATGCCCAAGTCCAACCCCAATCCATCTGCGCTATGCTCATTGACCGTGTCCCTCTGCCACATCTCCATGGCTCTTGGACACAGCCTCCTCCTGTCCATCTGGCATGGCTATTCCAAGCAGTTTGCTGGTCCTTCTTCAGGACTGTTTGTCCTTAGGGCCAATGGTGTTCCACTTGTCATCCTCCATCTCAAGGGAGATGGAAGAGATGGAGGGTTGAGTGGTGATGCTCTGCATGCCCTGGGTTTCTGTCCTGCCTCTGCTTATGTTCTGCATGCAGAGTACACAGGCTGTGCTTTCAGCCTTTTCAGTGGAAATCACCAGAGTGAGTTTTACAACTTAGAAGCTTGTTTTGAAGGAGAACAACGAGCCCCTGGTCGGCTTACCCTGCACTCTGGGTTTGGCTTTATTTCCATCCCCAATGGCACCATGGGAACATCACTTCTTCTTTCATACCTCTGTCCACTTCAGAGAAAGGCTGAGGAAAACTGTAATCATCATTAAGGTTGGAAATGACCTCCAACATCACCCAGTCCAGCCATTCACCTAGCACCAGTATTTCCCCCCTAAGCCACGTCCCTTAGTACCACATCTGCACATTTCTTGAACACCTCCAGGGACAGTGACTCTACCATCTCCTTAGACAGCCTGTTCTAGTGCTTGGCCATTCTTTCCGAGAAGAAATTTTTCCTAATATCCAACCTGAACCCCCCCACACCAGTACAACTTGAGGCTGGTTCTCACCCTATTGCTAGTTACGCAGAAGAGGCCGACCCCCACCTAACCACAACCTCCTTTCAGGTCATTATAGAGAGCTATAAAGTCTCCCCCGAGTCCTTGTGATGTTCTCTTATCCTACAGCTTTGGGAGCATAAATGCTTTTCTGCCTGTGTTCAGATAACACAGCAGGGAGGTTTGAACCTAGGAGAAGCAGTGTCAGAGTAGTTAAATGCCCAGGGTGCCCTGTCTCCAGTGTAATTCAAATGTAGGATAAAACCTGCCAGCAGTGAAGGCTGTGCATTTGGACCACTTTTTGCAGCTGCCTGGGACTGGCAGTGCTGTGAAGGCCATAGCTGTGCCCTGCTCCCAAGAGCTGTGTGCAGTGGTCCATCCAGGTTGACAGAAACATGGCATTGTCCTATTGCAAGGAGGGACAGTCCCTTTCTGAGTCCTCTTTTGTGAGAGCAGTGCTGGGTCCCAAAGCAGGGCTGGGACACTTGGCTCCAGACAGGCCATTAATCCACCAGCCAAGGGATTTCTGCCCAGGTTTGTAGTGTCCTTTATGGCAAACCTCCATTCTCACTAACCTGAAGCTCAGCAAGAAAACACAGGAAGAGTCTTCTATGAGGATATGTCCTGTTTGGGCATCTCTTGTGGGTTTTGGCATTTAAAGAGGAAGGCAGAGCACATCACTTTGTCCTGCCAGGGAAGGAGAGATGCCTCTAGCAGGGGCAGGATCAGTGTTAGTGTCCTTTCACTCCCCTCTGCAGCTCAGAGAGTGTGGTGGGATCCATCCAGCACCACGAGCTCTCTCTTATATGTGTGGTGTATTTGGTTCTGTTGCCATAGGAGAGATTCTGCACTCCAGAACCAATACCTTTATTGCCCCAATAGCCGAAGTTTTACACACCTCTGTAAAGGCATCTCAGTTTGGAGAAGGAAGCTTGAGCTCCGAGACCTGACTGTGAGAGGCTCCAGGTGGTGACTTTCTGTGGACTTTAAAATTGACCATTAATAACCTTCAGAAAAATAGCACGTTTGAAAGCAAACCACAGAAACTGCTTTTAACAGAGAGAGTTTTGTCCACGATGATGTCAACCCCAAACACACGCGCCTCCTGTCTAATGAAACCAAAACCCAGCCTGCGTTCTGTCTGGTGCTCACTAGAAGGAAAGTTACTGTCCCACTGCAGTGATGTAGCACTGTGACTCCTCTGCTAAAGAGGAGCAGCTGGGAGCAGCCTGCGGGACCCCCAGGGCTCTGCGCTTCCTTCCCTTCGCTGAAGGGCTGAGCATCAAGGAGGCTGCGAGCGCTCGGAGCTGCCCAGGGAGCAGCAGCAGCAGCACACCGAGCCGGGCTACCATGGGACCACACTACCACCTAGCGAGAGCTCACTGTAAAGCTGGCCAGCAGCACCCGGAGCTGGGCTCGGGTTATCACCTACCTTGGTCCGGAGGGCGGTCACCAGCCGGGGTACTGATAGCAGCAGCTCTAGTGCAGGTGGTCACTGCTCCGGAGCATGGTTTGGCTTGGAAGGACTTTACAGCCCACCCAGCTCCAGCCCCTGCTGAGAGCTGGTTGCCAGCCACCAGCTCAGCCTGCACAGGGCCCCTCTGCGGCCTTGGGCACCTGCAGGTATGGGGCACACACAGTAAAGGGTTTCCTCCTAACATCTAATCTAAATCTAACCTAAACCCTCTCTTAATCTTGCACAGAGCTGATCTGACTGGGGCCTACCAAATCCATTAACGACGTCGAAAGTAGCCTACTTTAAGAGAAAATATGCAGAAGAAGAACATCTACATCAAGATTACCATGAGTACTGTCCAAAAGTGAGTAGCTTTCTCCTTCCAGCTCCCATCCTCCCTCAGTTACATCCCTCCCTACTAAAGACCCGTGTGATGCTCTTTGCTCCCCAGCACCTGATACTCCCTGAGGACCGGACTTGTATTCTAAAACTTTCTCTCCAGAAACTCCGATTCCTGGAAGATCCCGAAGCCTATCTCCGTAGGTCGGTGTTAATTAACAATCTGTTGAGGAAGATTCACCTAGAGACAGAGAGGGAGAGCTATGAATACTTTAAGGAGGCTCCGTGCTATAGGACTGCTTACTCTGACTCACGAAAACGGCTGAAGTTTATGGTACACGAGTGCTGTTCTCAGTCACTCTATTATGAAGAGCTGCATTCGTATCGCATTGTGCCTTATTCTGCAGAGAACGCCGTTTATGGGATGGGCTACACAAGCAGCCACCTGGAGCAAAATTCTCAATTGCTTATTTATAAAATGAATTAAAGTAGCTGTTAGACCCACCGATGTTTGTTTCTGAATGCTTGAACTGCTTGCTGAGGCGTTAGGATGAGGCACTGATTGCAGAGATGCCCGTGGTGAGGTGGGAGCGGAGCTTGGACTCAGCAGCTTGGGGTGAGTTGGGTGCTTCGGGCACCGCTCCGCAGCCCCATGTTAACCAATTGGCCACGAAGCACCGTGCACACACAGGGCAGGTGTGATGCTGAGGCCTCACACACATGCAATGTGTCGTGTGGAAGCAAAGCCACGTTGCTGTTCTCTGTGTGTAGATACAAATGCTGGGAATCACTTTGTCGTTCAGTTGTGCCACCCTTAGCAGAAGGGGAGCCCCAGGTAGCGGAGCAGGCCGGCAGAGAGGAGCCAGGTGCCAGTTACTGACTGCAAAGGGACAGATAGGAAGTTTCTCTGAGGAAATGCTTTGTACATGAAGGGGTCAGTGCCGAAGGAATGGCCTTTGCTTAGGATGCTCAGAGACTAACTCGCTTGCTACTTAAACTACTATGAGATTTGCAAGGTTATTACTGTTATTTTTAGAATAATTGCATTCACCTTTTTAATTACATTATCTCTTAGCTGGTATTTACTTTGCTATTCTAGTACAGAGCAGAATGGCTCACAGGACAGATTGTTTCTTTGTCCTGTTGCTGTGTTCCCTTAGCTTCATTCGGGCTGTTTCCCCCATACCTTCCTGCATGCTGACCTGCTGTTTAGCAAGGGGTTCACACTGGTGCTAGGAAACAATAGGTAAACATTGATTTTGACATGGAAAGACAGAAAAGCAGTGGTAACTTCTCTGGATAGAGAATGAATGTATGTGACAGATGCTAGTAGAAGTTCAGAGGTACTCCTGATGAAGCTGCTCAGCAATGGTAATGGTGTTTCAGGTGAAGTGAAATCATAGAGCCACAGAATGGCTTGGGTTGGAAGGGACCTCAAGGATGGTTATGTTTCAACCCCCGTCTTGGGCAGCACTGCCAGCTGCTAGGCTAAATACTGGATCAGATTGCCCAGGGCCCCATCTAACCAAAATGTCTGATTTTGACCTGGGAGTTAACCTTAGGTTATGTAAATATGTATCTTATGAGCTGCGGATTGACATGAGAGCTGTTCAGCAAAACTGGTGATTACAAGTGGGAGGTTTTATAGCTGCCAATGTACCATGAAAATACCAAAGAGTAATATAAGGGAAGAGATGATGCTCCAGCAAAAGCAATGATTGCACTATAACCTGGGGAAATGTGATGAACGAGCTGTGATGTATCAGTGACTGATTCCTAGGACTGCTGACCTAATACACCAATGGTCCAAACCTGTCCTACAGAGCTGCAGAATTATTGTGGGGGAGTCTGGCCTTGCCTGGCAGGCTGCCAGCCCTGCATCTTTAGAGCAGAGCAAATAGAAGAGCACTCTCAGCTGGAGGCAGGTTCATGTTGAAGAACAGAATTTGTTTTTAGTTTTGGAAGTCTTTTCTCATGCAGATGTGGCTGATGCTATTTCTGAAGTACAAAAAATACCACTCCTTGACCAGGCTGTGCTCAGTGCAGGGCTAGAGGAGGAACCTCACAGCATCTCAGCTGTGACACTGCAGCTGCTGCGCACATGTTCACAGCACAAGACAAAGGAGGGGAGTAGGAGGTGCAAGGAGCAACATGAACTCCTGCCCCAGCAGTACAGCTTTAGGGGACAGAAAGCAGCAGCAAGGTGCAGCTTACTAGTGCAAAACAACAGTTTATTTGAAGAGAAGGATAACCTGCAAAGTGGGGAGCATGAGCAGCGCAGGTACTGTGGGAAGGCTGGGAATGGGGCACTGCGGGCAGAGGCAGAGGTAGCGCCTGTGCCCAGGAGGCCACTGGGGGCACAGTGTGCCGTGTGGTTGTTCAGTCAGTGTGATTCTTCTGCTATAAACTGACCTGGTTTATGCACTTGTTTTGCTCTTTTTGTCTGTTTTTGCCTGAACTCACAGCAGCGCAGGGGCTACACTGAATGCTAGGGTGCTTTCCCCCTCCGATCTGCTCTGTTACACTCAGAGGATAGTCCTGGCCTGAAAAATGAAATTTCCTACATCAAATAAAAATTGCTGCATTGGCACAAATGCTTGGTAGGATTAAGGCCTTTAACCTTTAACCTTACCTTAGCATTATCCCACCATCTCACAAATGACAAATTCCCTCCTCTGCTGAACAGGGCAGGCATATTCCTGCCTACTGTGAACTCCTCTGACAGAGCACTGCGTGCTCAGGAGGTAGCACAGGCAAGAACTGGGATCAGACAACAAAACCACTTGGGTACCTGTGAAAGAAGGTAACACTTTACTCACGTTTTCTCCTCTTGAACAAAAAAATGTTGTCTGATTTTATTATTTCTTAAATTTCTACTTGCTCCAGGAGATGTTACAACTCCTTCCTTCTAGAATGTTGGCTTTGATTTGAAATTGAGTTACAGGTCCTCAACTCTAAACATTGCATCTGCTCAACTTTTTGCTGCCTTATGCTTCACACAGTGATTTTTGCCAGTGAAAAGTGGATCAACATTCAACCATTCAACCTTAGCGCTTGATAGCCATAACCTGCAGTGATGAAGCAGTACAGAGGTGCAGTAGCATCACAAGTTGCTCCAGAAATGTTTGACACTTTTTGAACGACGTACCGCTTCTATCACTTATTTTCCAAGCTCCTGGGCACCAGCCCTTTAATACAGCTTCATGCAGTGATTGTTCTGTTTTAGGGCTCATAGCTGCAATTCAGCTCTTCTGGCTCTGATGTGTGAATGTGTAGGTGGTCAGATTTCGGCGATAAGTATATATATACACATATATAGATGTTCCATTATGACTGCGGTAGGAACTCCCACACATGGGCTATGTTTGCACTGGATGTAAGGAAGGTCCTTCCTTCCCTTTGATTCTGTTGCCTTGGAGATAGTGTTCATGAGGCGATGGTGGGTGGCACAGACAGACCTGCTCACAGGTAGCTGGTCATTCCCAGTAGGGCTGGCTTAGGACAATGCGTGGTCATTTTGGAACAGCACATGTGACTGTAATTAGTGTTTAAAAGAGTTTAGCTCCCTCTGTGCCACTCTCTCGCTTGGCTATGAGTGCTGGACTTGAGCTGGTGGCACTGAGCAGCAACAGGAGGCTCTGCATGGAATCAGCTTTGCATTCTGACATCTCCAAAATGTAGGGCTCTGCTCCACTATACACCTTTGTTATGGCCTCTCTGTGCACATCCGTGCGAGGCTCCTTATGTGCTCCATGCTCAGCATGTGCAATGTGGGGGCTGCCCTGTCCTAATGTGCTCCTCCATTGCTGAATTACCAGAGAGAAGTGAGGGCAGAGCTGCTGCTTGACTACTGGAATACATTGATATTGCACTGTAAATGGAACTGTTGTTTTTGATGAATGTGTTGAGTATATGGACTACGGTGCCTTAAAGTCCCATCTTCATACAGCCTTTGTACATGCAAACCCGCAGCCCGCCTTTAGCCGACAGCCCCATGCACGCCATGCAGCTCTGGCCCTGTGCCCACAGGGCCTTGGGAAGCACCAGCCCCACTTCACACTTTGGCAATTTCCTCTTCTCCTCTTTTCTAGACTGCTTTCCTCCCTTGGTCGGTCCCTGAATTTCTCTTTTTCCAGTTTCTGCCATCCCCGGGTTCTGCACTAGCCGCCCTGCCTTCACGTGAGCTCCAACCGTTGTACAAAAGCCGTCTCCAGCTTCTAAATGCCATATTGTGCTCTCAGCAGGGAATCACAACTGCATATAATGACTGCGGCAGGTGCCGTCAAGTATTTCATCTGATATTTGACGCGCTTAACTCCGCAGAAAGGGGAACGCTCGCTTCTGCTGGAATGCATGAGCCTGCGCTGTGCTACAGGTGACTGTACACCAACTCACTGGGATCACGCCTACTGATTCTACGATGGTAAATGGCTTTTTAATGTTTAAAATTACTCGGGACCTGATTGAAAGGTTTTTATGAAATCGTTTTCTAAAGTGAATAGTAGAAAAATGTATAGGTATTTTAAATATACATATAACGTGCATGTTATTAATAAAGGTCTATTTCTATTGAATCAGACGGACTCTTGTTGAATATATGCTGTTTTCTTCATGCAAAGCTGTTCGGGAAAGTTTTCTAACAACATTAACACTCTGAAAAATGAAAACCCCACCTATTCCTGGAGGGAGTGCTTCACAGGGGTGAATCCGGGCCCATGTCATGTGTTGGAGCTGTTCCTTCAGGTGCCATGCAAACCCTGGGACTCCCTTGTCCTGTCCCCAACACATATTAGGATAAATTTCTTCTCCAAAGGAGTGGTGATGAAGTGGCACAGCTGCACTGGGAGTGGTGGGGTCACCATCCATGGAGGTGTTCAAGAACCATGGAGATGTAGCACTGAGGGATGTGGGCAGTGGGCATGGTGGGGGTGGGTTGATAATTGAACCTTGTAGTCTCAGAGGTCTTTTCCAACCTTAATGATTCTATGAATGCTTATAAAAAGGTGAGCTTTCCCCCTGTGAAGGATGGGAGCCTGTGAAAAGCCTCTTAAAGCAGCCAGGGCCAGGTACTTCAGTGCCCATCTCCAGCCAGGGCTCAGGTCCCACATCTGAGCATTCCCATCAGCTGCCTCAGGTGCAGCAAATCACTCACCTCTACGTCATGCCAGGGAAGAGCAGCAACAGCTGTAATTCAGCATTACATCCCATGCCAGGTGCAGGGCTTAATTAATTTAGACCCTCAGATAAGCAGCACTGTTTGTCAGGCTGGATGATGCTGCTGGGTGATGCTGCCCTGGCTCAGGCATGCTCAAGATCATCCTTTGGCCATTCAAGCTCAGTGGGTCAGGCTGTGCTGCCCACAGGCTGATGTGCTGCTGATAGCAAATTATACCCAGCTGGGCTGAGTGCTGCCAAATTGCAGCTCTTCCCAGGGCAAGGTGACTGCTGCTGAAGCGAACCACTTCATGGAAATTGTTGCCATTTTACAGCAAGGAGGAGGAAGGATGGCTGGAAGGTAAAGGTCTGTCTCTCCCTGTGAGGTGCAGCATTCTCAGTGCATACAGGTGGAAAGCTGCATCATCTCAGAGGGACAGTCTGCACCAGTGTTGAGACTGCTGAAGGAGATGTTCCAGCTGCAACCAGGCTGTGGTGATTTGCTCTTGCCCAGACAGGTGAGGAAAATAGAATTGCAGACTGGTTGGGTTGGAAGAGACCCCAAAGCCCCCCAGCCCATGCCATGGGCTGGCTGCTCCTCTCAGCTCAGGCTGCCCAGGATTCCATCCATGGCCTTGGGCACCTCCAGGGATGGGGAATCCACAGCTCTGGGCAGCAGGGCCAGGGCTTCACTGCCCTCTGAGCCAAAAAACCCCCACAAAAAACAACAACAACAAAACAAACAAACAAACAAAAAAAAAACCACCAAAAACCCAAACGTAGCTTGGGGTTTGAAGGTCTGGAAATCCTTGGCCGGTGCTGTGTCCAACTGTGTATGGCACTGACCTGCTGGGGACATGTGACGGCAGAGGGTCACAGCACCGGGCCCTGGTGGCAGCGGCGGGGGACAGCAAAATGTGTCCGAGATGCAGTGCAGGGCGGACGCTTTGCCTGAAGATGGCACTGCTGGATCGAAGGATGGCTGGGGAATGGCTGTGACGGCTCGGGGATGCGACCGGGAGAGCCGGAAGGGTTCGAAGGACCTCATCTTCCACGCAGTCCCAAAACGAGCCTCCTTCTGTACCTGTTTTTCAGCCTCTTTGAGTATTTCCTCAGCATTTGGACCAGGACGGTGCCCAAGTTTTGCTCTTTTGATGAAAACCCTTTCTCAGCGGGTTGCTGAGTGCTGTGGGGCTGTGACAAGCTTGTAACAAAACGCGAGTAGCTGTCTGATTTATTCATAGAATCACTGAGGTTGGAAAAGACCTCTGAGATCCCCAGACTACCCCCACTAAGCCCACTGCCCACGTCCCTCAGTGCCCCATCTCCACAGTTCTGGGACGGTGACCCCACTGCTCCCTGGGCAGCTGTGCCACTGCATCACCATTTTTCCTGAGAAAAAATGTTTCCTAAAATCCAACCTTCCCTGGTTTGACTTAAGGCCATTCCCTCTTGTCCTTCTATTTGCTGATGGTAGAAGAGTGAATGAGAATATGCTCCAAGTCCGTTTTGAGGCTCTGCCTCAGTGTTCATGTGACATAAACCACGGGTGGCTGAGCCACGAGGAGGCCAGAAGGTGCCAGTCCTGCTCCCAGCCCATCAGCTGCGGTCACTGTGGGATGATCCTGTGCACCTGCTATTTGCTGGGGCTGGATTGCAGGACGTCTGTGCATCTGCATCCCCAAATGCACATAGCAGAAGCAGTCGTTGTCCATTAGGACAATTCTACGCATAAACAGAAAAAAAAACATTTCGCTGTTTGTGTCTATTTTCACCACTGGGGGGCTACATCCACCCGCAGACTGTAGTTAGGTTACACCCAACCCGGAGCACCTGTCGCCTTGAGAGATATGCTGTGTGGAGGTAAATGGGCAGGGCCAGAAGGCAGAAATGTTTTCTTTGGGGAAAAACCTGGCTGTGAGCTTTGTCGGTTTGCAATGAAAGAGCTTTTGTCCCTGCTGGAAGATTTGTGGTTAGTTTTCATAAAGGCAGCATGTAGGGAGCAGAACATTCCTTATGAATAGCAGGAGAACAGGAGTTTTACTTTGTTTGGGGCTGCGTTCCCTCTGCCACAAATAACCCACATACTGGGGCCATGTGCATTAGAGGCCAAGAGGTGCTCAGTCTCTGGAGCATCCTGCCAGACATGTATTTCTGTGCTGGATGGTGGGATCCCACATTTTAGCCTCCCTTGGTTCCACGTGCATGAGAGGTTTCCATTGGCTGGGCTTTGCTCTGGGTAATTCGCCAGAGAGAAACAAGCAGCTCCAGCTTGACAAAAGAAATGTCATCTCTGCAGATGCTTTAAAGTATGCTAAAGAGTTGAGCCTCTCTGGGGTCTTTCTTCAGGCTGCTGTTTTTTTCTTTTTATTTCAGCTTTTGCAGACTGCTATTCCAGCTTTGAATTCCTGTAGCTTACAGCCATGGCAATGCTGCTAGAAACAGGGGCAGCAGGATGGTCTTTGGGGCATTGCCCCAAGCTACACTTTTCTCCTTTTAAACTGAAGTGTGGTTCCCTTGAGGTTTTGAAATTGACTCCTGGGAAGTGCTTCATTAGCATTAGGAAGCACTCGGGATGACTTACAATCACAGAATGGTTTGGGTTGGAAGGGACCTTAACGGTCATCCCTTTTCAACCCCGCAGCCAAGGGCAGGGACACCTCCACTACACCAGGCTGCTCAAAGCTCCTTCCAGAGTTTCTCTGGGCAATCTGGGCTCCCCTCATGGTGTCACCCACTTGTGGGCTGACATGGCCTTTGCCCAGCCGGATCTGGCATTGCTGCCTTTTTGTGGTGCCATCCTTCCTAGGGACCGTAAAGCATTCACTGAAGAGGTTGTTCCTGCTATAAATTGAATAGTGAGGGCTCTGGGCTACAGAGGGCAGCAAATTGCTGGGAATACGACTTTGGTGCTGGTCTTCAGCAGTTCGAGGAAGAAGCCTCTACTTCTCTTATGTCTCTACAGCAGAGTCGGTGACTGGGTGAGAACCACGTTGCTCTCCTGATATTGTTGGTGATGGGTGGATGGCTGGAGTAGATGATCGTACTGGTCTTTCCAACCTTAATGATTCTGTGATTCTCCATGGGGTGAAAAGATGGAAAGCTGTGCTTTTTAATTATTTTTTCTATGTAGATGCATGCTCACTGCTGTAAAGACAGAGTGTGCAAGCACAGTGCTTCCTTTGAAACCTTTGCAAAAAGGGAACCATCATGTTACATGCCTCATGTCTTGGTGGGATGTATACTTTAGGAGCAAGGAACTTCATTTTTCAGGAAACTTGTGGTATTATTTTCTTTTCCACAGTCAGAAGATGGGTGTGTTTGTGCCAGGAGAAGCAGCTCTGCAGTTCTGCTAGTTTCTGTTGCGCCACCTGCGGATCATTCAGAGCTTTTATAGCCCTATAACTGTTGGTAAGCAATAAAAGGCACTGGTATGGAAAAGGTATTTCCTGTTATTATTATTGGTATTTTCTATTTAAGACGTTGGGAATTAACATGCATCAGTGAGGGGGAAATGTAGGTCTGTCTGTTGTGCCTGCTTCCATCCAACCCACTTTTGCATGTCCTGCATATGGGATGACAGGGGCAGGAGAGCATTGTGGAAAGCTTTCCTACCTGAGGCAGCTTCTGCTCCCATTCAAATAAACATGGAAAAGGATGACAGCAAACAACAACCCAGCTGTAGTGAGGTATCAACACAGTGAAACAGGCTGGACTGGCTCTCTTGGGTGGCTCTTTTCTTCCTTTTCAGTATGGTTTGGATAAGGTGGTTCAATGCATAAGCTCTGTTACTGCCCGGGTGTATTTGGACCAAAATAGCACTGCAATGTGTTTGCTAGGAAGGGATGCTTCATCTTTTTAGTGCAATTATTCTGAGAGTTTAGCTAAGCTCAGAAGGAGCTGCTAGGTTAGATTTGTGCTAAATTACAGACAGGTTTCCCTCTCTTGTGTTCAGTAAGGAGGAAAGAACGACACCAGGACACCTCACAGATTCTTGGCCTGGGGGCTCTGCCACTTCCAAGTACTGTCCCAGTGATCACAACCACTGGAACAGCTGCCTTTTCTAAAAAAAATTCCTTTTTAAAGTGTCTTATTTCTAATTGGGACTAGGCTCATCTAATGGTCTAGACTCATCTTCTAGCCAAAAGCATTTTGTTAAGCCTTTCTCCTAGATTAAGAATTCCTTTTAAGTGCCTGTTATCTTCTCCACGTGAAGACAGTGTAATCAAGTTGCCTTCCAATCTCTCCCTTTTGAGACTAAACAGATAGAACTCCCTGTCCGTGGCTAAAAGGCATTTTCCAAACCTTCCATCAGAGCTTCACTTGGGCATCTGGTGCTGAAAACAGGTCTGTAATCACTGAGTGAGTCTTAGTCTAAAGTGATTTTCTAAAGCATGACATGAAGCATTAAGGATTTCATGGCCA